CTGGAAGAGTAACGTTAGACTAAAATGCCGGCAGTTCTGACTGATGAGCTTTGTAAAAATTTACACGTTTCAGAAAGGTGGGACATTAATAAACAATAATGTACAGTATGTGGAAAATAATGTTTTTTTTTAACCTTAAACCGCATAAACACATTTCATTACACCAAATACACAAAATAATGTTATTTTTAGCAACATCATATGACCCCTTTAAATTTGTAAATATTTTCATTACGTAATTTCATTGAATAGAATAAAATACTTGTAAAAATCTATTATTTTTTCAATTGATCTATTAATTTATATTTTTACACTATTTTTGTCTAAACTGTTCACAGATCCAGTACGCTCCTGCAGCCCCTATAGTGACCTCAAAAAAAAAGTACAGTCACTCTAGAATGACTAGTAACCTGTATTTGTTACTGTAGCTAGTGTTTTGAAAGTGTTTTCATCTGTTGTGGTCGTTCCAGAATTTTTCTGACTGTATTTTGTGCAGTTATTCTAGTATGTTTCCAAATGAATTTACCATTGCTGTTCTCAAATGTTTCCATCTGTATTTGTTACTGCAGCTCTAGAATGTCTCTGCTTGTACTTGTTACAATCTAGAATGTTTCCACCTGTATTTCTTACAACCACTCAAGAATCTTTCTCGCTGTTTTTGTTCCAGCTATTCTAGAATGTTTCTGACTGTATTTTTCATGGTTTTTCTCATGATTCTGTCTGTTTTGTTAATGCAGCTCTGAAATATCTTTTGTCTTTTTTGTTAATTTTGTTCCAGAATGTTTCCGCATGTATTTGTTACAGCAGTTTTCAAATATTTCCGTCTGTATTCATACCTGTTGTTCTCAAATGAAGAATGTTTTCCTTCCGTGTCTGTTTCTGATATTTTCACATCTGTCAGACTGTCGCTAATGCTGGAGCTGTCGGAGTGTTTGCCATCAGCGGACCCCACATCCTGGCTCCGGGGCGTCAAGAGGTTTGAAGAGGTGAAAGCACTCTGCATGGAAATGGATGTCACGATCAGCCCAATGTGATGGAATATGAAAATGTATTTTGTGAATGTATTGGATTCAGTAGAGCGCCTGGGGGAACGCCCCAGTCCCAGATGAACGGGAGAAAGAAACAGCCGTCAACAGAAAAGATAAAAAAGCAATCTTGTGCACCTATAACCTTTAAGAGATATTTCTCTCTCTCTGAGAGTTGCTTTAAGCAATCACCTGTATGGAACGAGTCAAGGAACCAATATACGCGAGGATATGTGTGAATCTGTGAAGGTGAATTAAAGATTCACACACAGAAGCCAAGCAAGAGTCTGACTACGTCTCACTGCCAAAGCTTTTATAAGCATCTGGCAGCTGTGTAGGATAAAGAAGTAAAAAATCTGTTCAAATACACACACATATAATTCTCTCATATCACCGATGGGTATTTGTTGAGATCAAGGAGAAACGGAATGAAAATTAAGTAACAGAAGCCAAAGAAGTTGGGTTTCATTTATGCGCAGAACATTTGCTTGTGATTTTTTTGAAGGCTAGCCCAGGTGAAAAAGAAATATATTTAAATTGTGCTTTTTCAGACATACTTACTATATTTAAATTATACTATACTAAGTGCATATTTCTGTGGAAAGGAAAAAAAGATAATCTTTAAAGAGTGTTTTCTACGCAAGGACAGTTCATAGTGACCACCATGACTGTCAAGTTCCCAAAAAACACCATTAAAGTATCATAAAAGTAGTTCATACAACTTGTGTTCTATTATACAAGCCTTCTGAGATTATACGAAAGCTTTGTGTGAGGAGCTGCATGAGGGTGAATACATAATGACAGAATTTTCATTTCTGGGTGAAATGTTCCTTTAAGAAAAGATCTATGTGAGACTCAATAGATGTATTTAGGACATCTCCTGTAATCCTCTCGAAGAGAATAACCTTTCAAAGCACACCACACGAGGCATAACCTTATCGAGACCTTCCATTTACAGCTGGCTGAATGTGATTTTAATCTGTCTCTCACCAGGTCAAGACTCGAAGGGTTTAACTTATTAAACCAAACAACCTGCAATCAGAGAAGCCTCATTGTACATTCTGTTTGAATGTGAGCCAAGCAGAAAGCAATCTGGGCCTCACGACTGCTTTAAACAAACTAATCTGCTATTGTACAGGCCACAATTTCAAACATAATCCAAGACTATCCTTAAAGACCAAAGGGGAAAGTTGACATATTTCCTATTAAAACAGTCAATTTAAGTCATAGCCATGAGTCATGATTTGCTACTTGCTATTATTTATTATTTGTGACCCTGGACCACAAAACCAGTCTTAAGGCGCTGGGGTATATTTGTAGCAATAGCCAAAAATACATTGTATGGGTCAAAATTATTGATTTTTCTTTTATGCCAAAAATCATTAGGATTTTTCTGGACAAGAAAGACTGTACATTTTAAATATGTATGTTTGCTATATATATATTTATAAAAAAATTTTTTAAACTGCCACAAAACTCTAAAAACTGAAGATGTTTTTATCATACTTTATGTTCTTTACATCCATTTTTTTATGGTTTATATTTTATTTTTTATAACAATAACACTAATAACTATATATATATATATATACACACACACACATATTTATTATTTACATATATAATATTTAATATACCATATACAGTATATTATTATTTTACAAATAAAATGATAATGCACACATGCCAGAAAGCCAGGATATTGATGTACATACACAGAAAGAACACTGTGCTGTGTTGACATCGAACAGTGACTTGTTGGCATGTTTCACACTTTCTTCCCACCTAATGAAGTTGCACGTTGCATATTAAAGTATCACACGTGTCACATCGTCTCATCACTGTCTCTCTCTCTCACACACCTTCCATATAAAGGTGCTGATATCCTTGCCTTCATTAGAGCTGCAACAAGCCCAGGTCTCCGTCACGCTGAGATATATAATTAACACACAGATCAGCGAGGAGATGGGCAGAGGGCGCCGGAGCCGCAGTCACTAATGATTCCACAGAGACTCTCTCACTAGACAAAAAGAACAGTGGACGACGTATGGATAATTGAGAGCTATATTAATACACACACACACACACACACACACACACAGATTACAGCAATAGTTCCCTCCAAATTAATATTTCTGTCATCATTTACTCACCTTTATGATGTTCCAAACCCTTATGACTTTTTCATTTTTTTTTCTGTGGGACACAAAAGGATATGTTAGGAAGAATTTTCACACTGCTTTTCCAAATGATAAAAATATTCCGAAACAATTATTTTCTTCTTTTTTTAAATGGATGCAAAAATAGTAAAGAATACATAATGGTAGATATATACACACTGGCGGTCAAAAGTTTGGAATAATGAAGATTTTTTTATATTTCTTATATAAGTCTCTTATACTCACCAAGGCTGCATTCATTTGAGCAAAAATACGGTAAAAACAGTAATATAACAATAAAAGAACAGTTTTCTATTTGAATATATTTTAAAATGTAATTTATTTCTGTGCTGCTTATTATTTTTGTGGAAACATTGATACACTACCATTCAAAAGTTTGGAGTATTTTTTTAAAATAAATAAATACTTTTATTAAGTAAGATGCATTAAATTGTTTAAAAGACATTTTAAAGACATTAAAGACATTTATTTATCAAAACATTTTATCTCAAGATAAAAATATATATACACTACTCACAAAAAGTTAGGGATATTTGACTTTCGGGTGAAATTTATGGAAAATGTAAAAAGTTCATGCTACAGTGATATTATATCATGAAAGTAGGTGTGTCTAGTCAATACAGAACTGCCTTACACCTGGTGAATGGTACTGTGACAAGCCAATACTACCTGAATAACATCATTAATCCAGTCATTGTCCCTCTGCATGAGCAACACAAGCCTGATTTCATCTTCATGGATGACAATGCATCATCAGGGAATGGCTGCTGGAGGCTGGGGTACCTCAAATGGAATGGCCTGCACTTTCTCCAGACCTGAATCCCATAGAAAACCTAGTGTAAGTAAGTAGAAGTAGAAGCATGCAAGTATTAAGTAGAAGCATGAAATGGTCATTTCTTCATCTCAAACAATTTATTGAAACAAAAGCTAACAACAGTGGTGGGTATGCGACAGCAAAAAATGTAAATGTCTCAATAACTTGTCATGCATCCTTGAGCATCAATTACAGCTTGACAACAACGTCTCATGCTTTTCACAAGCCGACTTATTGGCTGCTGAGGCATGACAAGTTATTGAGACATTTACATTTTTTGCTGTCGTATACCCACCACTGTTGTTAGCTTTTGTTTCAATAAATTGTTTGAGATGAAGAAATTACCATTGCATGCTTCTACTTAAATGCCCTGCTTTCATGATTTAATATCACTGTAGCATGAACTTTTTACATTTTCCATAAATCTCACCCGGAAGTCGAATATCCCTAACATTTTGTGAGTAGTGTATGTTTTCCACAAAAATGTGAAGCAGCGCATGTATTCAAAATGAATAATAATAAAGAGAAATGTTTCTTGAGCAGCAAATCAGCATATTAAACTGAGTTCTGTAGGATCATGTGACTCTGAAGACTGAAGTAATGATGCTGAAAATTCAGCTTTGCATCACAGGAATAAATTACATTTCACAATATATTCAAATGGAAAACAGTTATTTTAAAATTGAAAATTATTTCACAATATTACTGTTTTTACTGCATTTTAGATCAAATAAATGCAGCCTTGGTGAGCATAAGAGACTCAAACCCCCCCCCAAAAAAACTACTAGTAAATAAATAATGCATATAAATGTAAATGCAAAACACAGAAGGTAGATTTATTTATTTTATAACATTCTTTTAGCTTGACATTTGGTAAACAGAAACTTTGTAACAGTTTCATGACTGAGAGCAAAACATGAAAGAACTTTAATTTCTGGCTGAAACAAGCCTTTAATGAGCCACTTATTTTGTGTTGCCTATTTGTTTGACACCACCAAACAGCAATTTACAGCATCTCTGTGATCATTATTGCCAGATTAATGGCCGTTTGAGCAGGTCCAGTGTTCGTAATCAGGGGCAAACACTGGAGGCCGATGATGAATTATTAATACCGACATGCTGAGATGGCATCGTTTGTGTGTGATTTTTATCTCTGATTCTGTTCTAACATGACTTCACTATGAAATCGGTTAAGCCGTCCATTTCCTCCTGCAGATTTGCTGGTAATCGTTTTCGCCAGGCCTCGTCCAGTCTCTTTGATATACCTTTAATCTGCCGTTAGTTAAATTGTGAGGAAATCCTCGCTCGTTCCCCCGCATTTTTCGGCCCCGTATCAAAGGCATCCTACGACAGCTCCAACCCTGAGAGAAAAATGTGTTGAAACGAAACTATTAGTGAGGAATATTTCAGGAAAGCAGACATATCACAAAGACACAAAAACACTTATGCAGCAAAATACAAGATGTTTTAAGCTCTGGGAAGTTGAAGTTCACTCACTTTGTGCTCTACGCTGGCGTCCCCTGTTTTAAGTGTTCAACTTTGATTGCCTAAGATTTAATGGGTTTCTAAGTTGTTAAACATCTAAGTATAAACCTTGCTGTGATGTTTCTATTGAAGTTTCTCATGGGAAGTAAAAATAGACTAAAATAAGTCAGTAGATGACAGTGAGAATATAAAATTAGATTATTAGAAAGGTTGAAGCTCATATTAAGATTAAGGTTGTGTGTTACTGAAGCTTGTTTCTGCCACGAGATTTAAAAAAATAAAAATAAAAAAGGTCATTGCAACTTTCTGTCTCACAATTTGGATATTTTTCCTTGCAAATCTGTTGAAGTTCATATTAAGATTAAGGTTCTGTATATTATTGAAGCTTGTTTCTGCCACGGGATAAAAAAAATTAATAAATAAAAAGGTAATTGCAACTTTCTATCACAATTTGGATATTTTTCCTTCCAAATCTGTTCAGTAAAGTTAAAACTGCGATATTAAACTTACTGTGATTATTAGAAAGGTTGAAGCTCATATTAAGATTAAGGTTGTGTGTTACTGAAGCTTGTTTCTGCCACGAGATTTAAAAAAAATAAAATAAAAAAGGTCATTGCAACTTTCTGTCTCACAATTTGGATATTTTTCCTTGCAAATCTGTTGAAGCTCATATTAAGATTAAGGTTCTGTATATTATTGAAGCTTGTTTCTGCCACGGGATAAAAAAAATTAATAAATAAAAAAGGTAATTGCAACTTTCTATCACAATTTGGATATTTTTCCTTCCAAATCTGTTCAGTAAAGTTAAAACTGCGATATTAAACTTACTGCGAGAATGAAAGTCCGAATTCTGAGTTCATATCTTGCAATTATTACTTTTTCTCAGAATTGCAAGAAAAACTGTTTTGGCCAAAACAGAATTGCGAGATATAAACTTGAATTTTGAGTTTATTTCTTGGAATTATTACTACTGACTTTTTTTCTTAGAATTGCGAGAAAAAAAGTCAGAATTGTGAGATATAAGCTCGGAAGTCCGAATTCTGAGTTTATATCTTGCAATTCTGACTTTTTTCACAGAATTGCGAGAAAAAGTCTAAATTGTGAGATGTAAACTAAGAATTTGCGAGAAAAAAATCTGAACCGTGAAATATAAAATCAGAATTGCAAGGAAAAAAGTCAGAATTGCGAGATATAAACTCATAATTGTGAGAAAGCCAGAATTCTGAGTTTATATCTTGCAATCCTGACTTTTTCTTAGAATTGCAAGAAAAACCGTTTTGGCCAAAACAGAATTGTGAGATATAAACTTGGAATTGTGAGCAAAAAACTGAATTGAAGACATTACATTATTTGCATGTGCTTTTAAATGTTTCATTCGCACGCTGTTCTGACGTGCGCTTTTTCTGAGCGCAGCGTACAGTCTATGCGTACACCCGAAGCGCGCGCACTAAAAAGCCTGTCAAACAGCTCCTGATTACTAAACTAAGTTATCTTTTACGCTAATACTGTCAAAACACACAAGGTTTACATATAGACTCAGTTGGTTATGTCTAAAATTAAAGTAAACAGTTGAGAGAGAAACAGATGCGTGCCTGTATATTAGATGCGTGCAGCCGGTCTTAAAGGGATACTCCACCCCAAAATGAAAATTTTGTCATTAATCACTTACCCCCATGTCGTTCCAAACCCCTAAAAGCTTCGTTCGCATCACCGTAGCGCCATTTTGGAGAATATCCGCTGAACGCAAGCAGCGTACGCTCTTCTGTGTCAGCCGCG